TTGAACTTTTAAATATTTCAAAACATGGAATACACATAATAATGTTCGTGCTTTATCAAAATAATCTTGTAAAATACCAGCATTTGTTAAATCTTTATCAATCATGACAACTTGTGTTTCAGATAAATCATTAAGTTTCTTAAATGAAGAATAAAAAAATTCTAAATTTTCTTTAATTCCGCTGACCATTAAGCAGTAAGCAACAGGTACACCTTTTAAATTAGCGTTTTGTACTAAACATATATATAATTGATAATTTTCAATATTAACTTTAAATGTCGAATCTATATGAACGATATTTGAATATTTTTTAAACCATGTTTTCATTTGAGAAGTTTGAATATATAAACATTCTAAAACACCATTGTCATTAATTTTAATTTGAACAGAATTCTGAGAGTTATCATTTAATATTTGATTAATCCATGTTTTTAATAATTCTGGATCGCTTTTATCTCCAACTAAGTTAAATTTTAATTTTTGTTTAAAATTATTTATATCTTTTCTTGTTAAATTAATGTCAAATTTATCACTTATTAATTTTCGATTATTATATGTTGAAGTCTTTGCAGCAATTAGCGTTTTGCATAAATCATATGCTTCATTATTTTCTTCTAATTTTTTATTTCTAACAAATGAATAATTCTTGTAAATTTTTTCATCTAATGGATGATTATGAGTTAAGTTCTTGTTTTTCATAAAAATAATTTTATTAATTTCAGTATCATGTTTAACTTTAAAAAAAAATTGACAATCTAATCAAGCGGATTCTTGATTTGGTCTTGAACCATCTTTTATGTGTCTTCTAATAGGGCCACTATGATGGCATACGTACATTACATGTTGGTATCGAAAACGATCAAATAAATCTTTCATTAGTTTTTCGTTATATTTCATTGAAGTACGTTTAACATTCACTGGTTGATAATAAGTAATGCACCAATTTTCAAATGTTTTTTGAAATTCTTCCCAATTATCAAATTCTTTTGTAAAGAGAGTGTCTTTATCTTGTTCCATTGTCTGGTTGAATAATTATGATAAATGTGAATAAATAATTATATATGAGAATAATAGAAAAATACAGTTTGCAATAGACGTTGAGAATGAGTATGATAGATTTTTCAATGATATAAGAGTATTTATTTAGTACCATAAATGAGATTATAAACAATTTGTCCATCTGATTATAGAAATTATCAATTCATTTCATTTAACTTGTAAAAATATTAATAAGCTCAATAGAGAAAAGATTAAAGTGAGGATTAATCAATTTATCTTAATAAAGGTTATGTTCTTATAGTGCAACTTATTTGACTTTTTATGTTTTCAATTTCCCATTTTTAAGCTAATTAAGCTGAGAAAAGAAAATTCAATTTTTCGTTTTATGGTAGAGTGTCAGAAAAATGATATATTCAAGAGAGAACAAAAATCCTAGCACCAGACACTTCATTTATCTCATTGAAAGTAATGAAATTCGACCATTTCCTTCAAAATCAAAGAGAGGAAGCACTAGAAATGCTTCTAAATTAGTTGATCTTTATTTAAATTAATTTTTTTTGTTGTTCTGTAATTGTACTAATTAATTTATGCTTGTGTGTAATAAATAATTAATAAAATAAAATTATTAGAAAAATGAAATATTTAGTTTTTATTAATAAGCAAATATATATAAGATAATAATCATATCATATATGCTAGGTTGATTATACCTGCCCATGTATGTATAGCCATTTGGCTATATACACTTGTGTGTACATAGTCACTTGGCTATGTACACATAAGTGTACATAGCTGACTAGCTATATACACATATGTGTACATAGTCACTTCCTTGTTTAAAAGCGATGAAAATGAAAATTATGCGCAGAAGACGTATTTCTTGCGTTTTTTAATGAACGTTAATGATGCACACACGCGGTTCCATTTTGAGGACTTAAACGCAGCTTTTCAAATTTTTGTCTGCTTAAGCATCGTGTACTCAATACTTCAACCAGGGCATTTTATTTAAAACACAGTGTAGCAAACAGAGTGAAATCTCGCTGTTTTCAGCTCTTTCCGAGATAAATCAATATCAGAGATTATAATGTACGACTGAATCGGTTTCATTGTATTAAACATGCGAAATCAATAGTGATTGCGATGAAAACATTGTTTTTATTTAATTTCTGTTGAACTTCGATTTTTTTAAATGCTTTTCAGGCTTATTGAGACTTCTAGACTATTTACGTTTTTTGTCATTTGTAGGTTAGATACGAAGATTCGGGATCTACCAGCTCAATTCACGAAATCCGTTCAAATGAGCTAAAGAACTACTCGACCTGTTCTTTTGAACAAACTGAGCTGCTTCCGACAGTTCGTTCCAAATGAACTGAACTGCTCGAACAGTTCTTTTCAACGAACTGAAGTTTCCAAACAAATCTTTTCGAATGAACTGAACATAAAGTTAAAATAGCTACTATTCTACAACGGTACTCAAAGGTCCTCAAGGACTATCCTATAGGAGTATCCATATGTCCTCAACGACTATCCTATGGAGGCACTTTTGGATCCCCAAATCCTACAATAGGGGGTTTTCTCGGGTGCTCCCGCTCTACTATAGAAGTTATCATCGGATCCTCAAGCTCCGCTGTGGATGGTACCCGTTCGTCCTCAGGTGATACTATAGGCGGTACTCTTAGGTCCCCAGCTCCCACTATTCACGGGCACCGTTGGGCTCTCAAGTCCTACTATAAGGGGCAACGTTATGTCCTCAAGTCCTACTATAGTGGCATCCTTAGGTACTAGAGTCATGTTTGTTAAGGAGTAGCCTTCTGTCCTCAAATTATACTATAGGGATACCCTTAAGTCATCCTCTTCTACTATTGCTGGTAGCCAACCGTCCTGAAGTCCTAGTCCTTCTGGTAACTTTCCTCCTCAAGGATTGCATTAAGCGGTACCAATCAGTCTTCAACAATCACCGGTAGTATGAGATGAAAGCACACATCTTCCGGAACCTAACTAGTGAGGAAATAGACTACTCCGCTACCGCACTTTATTTCTCCGTGGCATACAGCAGAGATCCGTAAACGAACAACTCACATACGATATAGCATCCTGACAAACTGTACTATCTATCCTAACATCATTTCTGATTCTCACAAAAATATAAGCACGAAAACTTTTTCTAAGATCTTATTCGTCAATTTTTGACCAATTAAATTTCAAGAGACATTGTCTATCTTATTACTCTGACAACCACTAGTCATTTTCGGACCAATCCTAGGGTTATCGAGGATGCTGTATCGAACAAGTATGTATAAGGGTCTTGATCGCTTCTATCACTGACATATAGAAACTTCCAATCTCATTGGTTCCTTGTTGAACAAGCGGAATTTTGTTTGCCTTTTGCCGTATTATCTCGGAAATTAGTGTTACAACAGAATCCAAGAACGCTAGATTACCCTCAGTAGTAGTTGTTGATGACGCAATGGTGCCTCCAAAAGATTTATTGAGGATCTAAAAATGTCTTCCTATAACAGAACTTAGAGAACGAAGGGTACCCTATATAATAGTAGCTGAAGAGTCATGGGTACCACTATATAATCTAGCTTGAGGACCAAATAGTTGCCCCTTATAATAGGATTTGATGTCCTCATGACAACTCCTATAATAGGACTTGAGGACCTTAAGGCATCCCTCTTAAATACAACCTGAAGTCCTAATGGCACCCATATAAAATAGCACTTCAAAGCCTATGGATGTAACTTTTCCTGATAATCTATTGGCGGACTGAACTCCGTGAAAAGGTCCAGTTCCTTGAAAAGTGCTGTTCAAAGAGTTCAGTTCATTGGAAGAGAACTGTTCATAAAGTTCAATTTGTTCAAAAGAACTGCTCAAGCAGTTCGTTGACTTGAAAAGAACTGTTTGAAAAAGTTCGGTTCACTCGGGAAAACCGTTCGAATAGTTCAGTTCGTGTTGGTCAGCGTATTGAAGAGTTCGTCAGTGCTGAACTAAAACTGAGCTTGTCGACCTCTAATGGCAACCCCCTAGGATAGGCAACGACGACTTACGGGTACCCTTATAGGATAGCCCATGGAGACTTTTGGCTATTCTACAGAGTCCGACCTTTTCAGTTACCTGAGCTGAGCTCAACTGTGCGAACAGCTCGGGTCAGTTCAAGAGAACTCTTCAAACAGTTCTTTCAAACAGTTCTCGCAAAATGAACTGAACTGTTCGAACAATTCCGTTCAGCTCAGCTCTTTTAGTAGAACACTTCATCAGTTCGGAACTTTTTCCGAACTATTGTACCCCTAGTGAAGATGAAGTTTTTTTTGGAATATATTTCGAATCTCGTATTTCAGAACCATTCAGCGTTTCTCTTCAATAGCATGGCTTTAGTTGTATGACAGATACGTTTTCCCAATCTGAAAAGCCTTGATCTCGAAAAAACAATTGAAATGAAAAGCAAAAACATACGCCTACGTATGTTTCTATGTGAAATATGCTTGTAAAACGACTGTCTACTTTATGCTACGTCATGGTCTTCTTGTCTTTTAATGATATATGTAATGAATGAAGAGATAACATATCTCTTCTTGTAATCTTCCTACGGACATATTTATTAACATTAAATTCAATCATCTCTTAATCTAGACACAAGTGAATTAGTATCCAATTAGCGGCATCGGTAAGGTATTGTTGAGGAAGATTGAGCCATGGTATACACGACAAAAATCAAGTAAGAACCTTAGCATGCCTCAAACATTGACCACGCCACTATATCCAAGGAACGTTACTAGTTCTGTTTCTGCGAATGAAAACTATTTGGAATAGTTCAACTTCTTTTATAGGCACTGTACGATGACATGAGTTCTGACCGCTTCATTTGAACATGACCTAGAACTATCCTAGTTCTCATACTGAACATGAGAAAAAGAGCGCTTCTATAAACAAAAAGCGTAGATATCTTGGAATAATAATCATTTAATTACTTGCATATTTGATCGATACTCTCTTATACAAAAAAAATAAGTCAACATGACTTTCGCCTCAATACTAATCAATCGAAAATATTGTAGAACAACTCGTCGTTTTGTATACTTATTTCAAGCAAAATTGAACATGGAAACACGACAAGTATACATATAGCGAGAAAATATCAAGAAGAAAGACAGCAGAAGTATCTTCTTACGTGCTAAATAAAGATAATATGCCATGCCTATTTTGAGGGCAGCCATTTTGATACACAAATAACGATGAAAAAACATAAAATGAACATGATCGTTGAAGTCATGGAAAGGTAACAGGGGACTATATTTATTCGTGTGTCGAATAAAAAGATAGACGGGTCACTCTGCAATTTATATAGTTCGAATAGTCCCACAGTTGAGTTCTGTATTATTCTAATGAAAAGACCACCGACGTTTGTCTGATCCGATAGAATTATCTCGGTAATTATGGAAAAGCAGTTTTTCGTATTTCTACAGGGGATTTAGTTCATGTCAAAGAATCAGAATGCCTGTTTTTACCATGAAATTCAACTATTGAAATCTGAATCACATCATTTTCCTGTGGTTTTTCATTCAACTTTTATTCAGATTGATAAGATAAGATTTTAAGCCGTCTCGATAATCCGATTATATAATTCAGGACGAAGAGATTGATTGTAGAATATCATCTATAAGATCGATTGATCTGGATAGAATCCTATCGAAATTTGATGAAATTCTGGTCCATGAAAATCTTTAGTTGAATCCAATAGGAGGAAAGTATTCGAATAACCAAGAAATTCGACTAAAGATTTCTGTAGATTGAGGTTTCATTAAGTTCCTGAAAGATATTATCGACTTTTCCAGGGTCCAAGTCCAATAATTTCTGACTGGTATATGTTTCATTTGAGAACCTATGTGATAGTTGAAGAAAAGATCAAAGATTATCATTCTATGGGAAACGAAAACTGTACAAATTAGAGATGCTAATGAGTTCTAAAATTAAAATAATCCTGAAAACTTGTAAAATGTGTATCAACTTACAAATCA